AAATTAGGGTTAAAGTTTAGCGACCCATTTTTCGAGTAAATTAATTTTATTTTGTTTAAAAGTTCTCGGTCGCTATAGATATAAGGGGATTCGGGATCCAGTACATTTTACATCGTCATATTTTTATAAAACTTGCATTTATTTATAATCTTACATTTATTTTAGCTAAGCCTATTTCTATATTTCTCTCACAAGAATTTGAAGTGAGTGATTTACACGTGAAATTATTTCTTCCACCAATTATTAATGTACATCAACTAAAGGAATCATTCCACCGGCCTTCCAACAAATACAAAAAGAGGAAACTTTCCATAAACATGTATTGTTTCTTTGCCAAAAGTTTTTGGATACGGATGTTGAACTCAAGAAGTTTCAATTAAAAAATAGGAGCATGAAAAGAAATTAATCATAACAAGCCAAAAGGAACTAGTAGCATTCAAAGAAGAAGATATTAGCATGCAATCCCTCGACTTTATCCTTTGCTCAAAAATTGAATTTGTGATTAAATTTTATGAGGAGATTGAGATGTATAATGTTGAGTTTGAATTGGGTGATGATGAGAAGTCATACTACTTGAAACAGGGAAATGTTAAAATTTGGAGGAAAGTTGCAAGATGAAAAAAAAAGCCAAATTAAGCAGGATCTCCAAAGTCATATTCAAAGTGCCATAAAACACCTGTGCAAAAGTCGAGTTTGAGACTATAAATCGAGAACTTAATGGGAAATAACCCATTTTTTTGTCCATTTTCACTTATTTTGATTAACTATTGCATTATAAATAACTTTAGTGATTGCATTAATTTAGGAATTCAGTCATTCTTAAAGTTGTACTTAGATTTCAATTCCCTAACCAATTTGAAAGACTTAACCTTTTTCTAGCTATAGAATTTTTGCAGTGATGACACTCTATTAGATAATCTTTTTGAAAGTTAAAATATTAGAATTCTTATTTGTGTGAATTCATTACAAATATTTAAACCTTATTTGCTCTCACTAATATTTATTTTAAATTCTTGAAACGTTTACCAACTGGATTAGTCAGGTCCTTTGACTCATCGACATTTACCTCGGGGAGTTTTTTTTTTCCTTACTCCTTTATTTTGATTATTTTTCCGTTTACATTGGGGACAATGTAATATTTTTGTTTAGGGTGGGTAAGCTATTAAGATACTTAGAATATATTTTTCAACTGTTGATTGGGTCTATATAACTTAAAAAATTGAAAAAAAAAAATAGAGTCTAGTTCGCTTTAAACGACTTGCAACCTATGATAATATTTGTTTGAATTGAATATAACTTTCGCTAAAACTGGACAATATCGTATCTTATACTTTTACTTGAGTACTTATCCATGTTAGACTTATTTACTTGAGCACATAGCCATAATTGACTTATCACTTATATTAGGACATGACTTGATTATGTGGATTTAATTGTTGATATTGTTGACCTAGGTTTAAATAAATTCTCAAATTCTTTATATAGAAACCAAACTGCTTTTTAGCAGTTTGGAGTGGGAAGGTTAGTGCTAGTATTCACAAAAATTTGATGGTTTGGAATTCTTTAATCAGATATTTGGTTGAAGGAGTTTAAGTTAATGAATCTAGAACGGGCACTAACCAATATTAAAATTCGAACATATCAAAAGAAAATGTGATACATCTTATACTTTTCTTGTAACATTTTTTATTTGAGTGATTAAGCATGTTAGGGTATTTAAAATCTGATACCCTATGATAATCTCACTTGGGAGTTATCGGCCTAAAACTTTCTATAGGAGTCATTTAGAAAACTTAATGGAGAGAAGACTTGCATATATGAGGTCAAAAAAATAGCAAATAGCAAAATATATTCATAGCGAAAGAAAGAGAAAGGAATTAGATTATCGAAAGTGAGAAGTGGCCGATAACGACTTCGAGATTTGAACTCTAGAGAGCGACGGTGCGACTTTGAGAAATACTTACTATCTTCCTTCTAGGTTTTCAAGTATCTAATTCTAATCACTTAGTGTGGAAAATGCATTATAATGATTCTTAGGAACCCATGTGTGCTAGAAATACCTCAGGATTGGAGAGAAAAGAATAAGGAGTGATTTTGAACGAGAGGTGCGAGGAAAAACAAACTACATAAGAATTGAGATTATAAGTAAATCAATAACACTTGATTGATTGTGTTCTAGCATGGGTGTGAATTCAATATTGGCTAATATCACACACACACAAATTAAGTCGAGTATTGGATAAGTAAAAAATTATTTTTTTTATGTTGTTTGGATATTTCTAAAGTGTTATTTAAATTCGAACCCGAGGCATATGGTAAGAAATTCACCCTTGAGTCTATTACTTTGTGAATTTTTTTGGAATAGTAATATGGTTTATTCCTAAGGTTTTTTTTTCCGAGGACGAACAAAGATTTTAGTTTGGACCAGTTTGATAAGTGCATTTTGTGCATTTGTTCGGACCATATTATTAAACTTTTATGTCGTTAAAATATTGAATTCTACTTAACTTGGGTAAATTTTTGTTTGTTTCAGTGTTAACCCGTTTTGAAGCAATTGGAAAAGAATGATCAATTGGCCATTGGATGAAAATTTCGGGATAATATTCCACACTTTGGAAATTGAAGGACTTGAACTAAATTAAAAAAGACATTGGTTGCACAATTAATTGGCCTC